AAACCGACAGAAATGCAAGACTCCTTAAAGGGAGATATTGTTGCACCGGGATCATCAATAAATTCCAATATAACCGTTCCAAATTTAGTTGAGATCGCACCAAGTATAGTTGTAGATATGAATACCCTTCAATCTAATAGATCAAATTCAATTAAGTATAATGCCACTAAAAGTGACAACATTACTACAGGTAATCAAAACCATACCAATGAAGGCATTTACATAAACTCAACAAAATCTTTGAATCGAACAAGCGTAGTAAACAAAACTGTAACAACTACACTTGTACCCGCAGTTGCCAAAAATGATGTTGCGCAAATTGGTAACGATACCCTCGAAGTAAGATCTACAAAAAGCACAATCACAAACACTACAACTACGACCAAAATAATGCCAACAACGACCAAAACAAAACCAACAACAACAACCACTACCACACCGAAACCCAAAAAACCAAGCATAACATTTGGATTAGGCGATTTTCCACATTTGCCAGGAGAACCATTCGTTAACAATAAAAAGCCAGAATCATCTAGCTCTAAATTGCCAGAATTAAGCGAGCCTGTCGTACTACCGGATGCGCAGCCATCACAAGAATTAAACAACGGATTCAATTATCACAGCAGCCGCGATATTATTGTACCTATTATGACAGTCCTCTTCACAATACCATTGGCAATAGGAGTGGTAATTACCACTTACCGTCGCTTCCGCGATTGTTGGTCAACGCGACATTATCGCCGAATGGATTTCTTGGTCGATGGCATGTACAACGATTGACAACTGATTACCGAAGAATGTACCGATGATGCGGTGCAGAAGTATAATGCGGGGGCAGAAGTTGAAAACGCTGTAGACGTTGCTCAGCAATTAATACAGTAGCGCACAATTATAACAATTTAAAGAAGTTGTAGTATTTTTAAGAGTGAGATTCACTATAAGTTTATACGAATTTTCAATGTACTTTAAATATATTGATGCGTGTACTATATATTTCAGAAAAAATTTTAAATCGCTTTAAGTCTTACACTTAATGAATGCATTTAATTTAAACGTGAAAAATAAAAATGTCACACTTAAGAGCATGTTATATCTAGATTTCAAAATTTGTATGTGGCCAAATTTTGTTCGTAAGATCTTTTCTATAGAATTATGGTACATACTCGTAATTGCGGATATTGAATTTTATTACAAAAATCAATGATATACATAGTAATACAAATCATAAGTTCTAAGGATATTTTGCAAAGCAAACTCATGTAATCATTTTATTTATGTATGTACGTGTAGTACTCAAACCTTCCAATTATTATAAAAAAAACACTTGTTTTTTTTTTTTTGAAGCTTGAAAACTGAAAAGGCATTTCCATGTAATTCAATTGAAAGAAGCATTTATACAAATTATGAACAACCGTTATCGATTCGCCACTTCTCTGTCCGCTATGTTTGAGTTCCGGTCGCTAAGCGAAAAATTTTGCATCTGAAAGCAACAACAAAGTTAGCTAGCGAGTTTGGTTGTACCGCATTGAGTTCGTTCATTTCGCCACTATCTAACTGTTGGCGAATCGATGACGGCTAATATATACTTTGAACGTTAGATAAGCTAGATATATATACCTATTTTTCAAAATGACCCACATTATTTGAAAATTTTGACTTTAAAGTAGGCTTCCATATACTCCCAATTTCATTGTTTTTGGAATCGAAATAATATTGTAATCATTTCTATTTATGCGACAATAATTTTAGAAGTTAAATTTTAATACATACATACCTACATATGTATGTATTTATTCAAGTAATATTAAAGCAATGGCATACATATACTTCTATGTATGTACATATGACCATTACAAATTAAATGTAACAAAAAATGCGTTTTTAGACTCAAAAGTGTTCGATTATATTTTTTTAGATTTTGTTTAACCAATTTATCGATGTTTTTTATCCATATACATAATTTTGAAAAAACAAATTAAAACTCTATGGATTAAACTCTGAGTTAAGCATGAATTTAACTTACAGTAAAAAAAAATAAAATAATAATAAAAATCGAACACCATCACGCAAAAGTTTGTTACGTTTAATTTGCAATGGCTACATCTGAATGTTCGTACGTTATTTGAGAAATTGTAAATTTGACAGTGCCTTATAATATGTAGTAATTGGCGATTTTTCATTTAGGAAAGAAAAACATAAGTCCAAAGGTGAATTTGCCTTGATAAGTCCATTAAAAATATAAAAGCAAACATATATGTATATGTATATATCTGTTGTCATATGGAATAGTAGCTGAATTCGGGAGGCTGGCTTTAGTATAATGTGCTGTGCTATGAAGAGCTCTTGGCAAATAAACATGAAAGGAATAGTTCTGTTGTTAGCAAGTTAATATTCTCGTTGTCATCAATCACATTGTACTAAAGCCAGCCTCCCGACTTAAGCTACTACTATTTCATATGACCAAAGATATGTATGTATTTCAGTTACTCGTGAAATCAAAGAATATATGAGGTGTATGTACATACACGTGCATGTACATAATATGGCTTATGTATAAATAAATAAAAACGTAAAAATATGTGTATTAAAAATTATTAAGACTTACATACGTAGTATATTCATGTACTTTAAAAATACCGGCTGAATAAAAAAAAAATAAAAATTAAATCCCTATTTTAAATATTTTGAACTTAAGATATTATTTTTATACCTGAGCGCACTTGTGCACAACGGTTTTATGACTTTGCTCGCATAACGGTTGTTCGCATAAGGCATTCTTCAACCAAATTCTGAGACAGGGTTCCCACGACAGTCGGGTCTACGTAACCGGAACGACCCAGATTTATATCTGGACCTACTCCAGCAACACTCCCCAAAAAGTCTTTGGGGAATTTGTATGCTGCTACAACAACAACAACAACAGGGTGTTTTCCAATAAAATTCTGAAATAGGGCGTTCTGCAATCAAATTTTGAAGTAAGGCGTTGCTGCCATCGATATGTATATGTATACGAAAACAGCGATAAATTAGTATCTTCAGAAGTAATTTCACTCATAATTTATATTTGCAATAATTTTTTGCAATTAATGAGGCTATCATAAATTTTTGGAAAATGGATGTTGCACCGAAACTCAGATATCTCAATAACGAAGAACGCTTATTTACTTCAAGTTAATACTTAAAACAATATCTTAACAAATAATAAGATTACTATAGATTTTTGGAAAATGGTGATGACATAGAGTATCGGTCATATCCTTAGCATCCCACTTTCAAAATGATACTGTTTTCTACTTACAGTCAGTCAATAAAGTTTAGGTACAGCGAATTTTTTACAATACGGGCAACTATTTTTTATATATTTTATTTTTCGATAATTTTTTATAAAAATATGGTTAATTCTACAACAAAAAAAAAACAAAAAATTAGAGTTCCAAACATTGTGCAAAATTAAAGAAAATTTTGCAAAATTTCATTCAAATATTTCACTTTTTATTTACGCTCTCTAGAAAAAAGTTGAGTATGCAGTTTTTTAGCCCATTCAATTTTAGTACAACAAAGTGCAAGTTTGAGGTAGCTGGGACTTATCATTGATTTATAGCAATTTTTTTTGTTGAAGGTGTCGCTCATTTTCTCCATATAAAATAATGTTTGATAAATTTTTTATATGGAAAAAATGTGCGACACCTTCAACAAAGAATAAAATAAAATAAAATAAAAATAAATAAAAAGTGGCATATTTTAATTGAAATTTTGCAGAATTTTCTTTAATTTTGCACAGGTTTTGGAACTTTGAATTTTGGGGTTTTTGTTGTAGAATTAACCATATTTTTATAAAAAATTCGCGAAAAATAAAATATTTTAAAAATAGTTGCCCATATTGTAAAAAATTCTCTGTACCTAAACTTTATTGACTGACTGTATGTTTATTTACTTATTTTTCATTTAAATAAAATACAGTTCATTCCGTAACAAAACCCATAAAAACCCAAGTTTAAAACTTTGTAGAAAACTAAAAAAACACATTTTCAACCTAATTTCAAACTTTTGAGTATTCATTCAATTTTAGAGCAATAATGTGCAAGTTTAAAGTGGCTAAAAATTATTGTAGATTTTTTTAGATTTTAACGAATACATAAACAGAATTTATTTTTATATGGAAGAAAACGGCAACACCTTCGGCAAAAAACTTTTAATGGTCAATAAAACTGTATATTCAAATAAATTCTAACACTTCTGAGAAAAGTTTGAAATTTTGACTAAAATTTTTTTTTAGTTTTCTACAAAGTTTTAAACTTGGTTTTTTTTAGAAAATGAACTATATCTTAATTGAAAATTAATTAAATATTTCCATGTAAAAAAAAAATTAGATCGATTTTCGGAAGAGATATTTTCGCAAGTTTTGGCTATTTTTCTTTTTTTTTTAAATGTTTATTATTATTTATGTAAATATAGCAAACTAAAAAACCATGTAAATAAAAATTTTAAACTTTGTAGAACATTTATAAAAAATTTCTTTCAAATCTAAAAGTTTTTGAACAGGATTTTTAGAATTTATGCAGTTTTGTAGTAAAGTGCAAGTTTGAAAAGGCTAGGACTTAATATTGATTTTTAGCAATTTTTTGTTCACGCATTTTCTTCCATAAAAAGTATGTTCAGCAACACCTACCACAAAAAAGAATCAAAAAATAAACGTTAAGTTCTAGGTACTAAAAATTACACCTCATTATAATAAAATGAATGGCCTACTGTATACTCAGAACATCTCTAAGAAATCTAATTAAAATCTAATAAAACTTTTTATGAAGCTTTGTCGAATTTTTGCTAATTTTTGTACGAAGTTTGAAATTTCCACTTACATGGTGTTTGTTAGATAACGAGCTACACTTTCATACAAAAAAAAAATAATAACTGTTAAATAAACGAAAGGGAAATAGCCGAATAATGCTAAAATGTATCTCCCCTATTTATATTCTCGCAACTGTAGGAATTCTATAGGGGCATACGGTGAACAAAAACACACAAATTTGTGATCCAGTGTTATCATTCCTCTTAAACACATTGCCATAACACATGCAAATACATACATACATACACATATCATTCTAAAGATGCAATCATTAAACTGCGTACTCGTATGCAGTCAAAGCGAAATGATCGACAGCAAAGGTTGCTACTTTGCCTCAGGGTGAAGACCGCAGGGTGGTCTGGCGCTTGTTTTCTTAACTCTGTTGTTTTCTGCTTGTCAAATGTGGCATGTGTTTATGTATTTACACCTTCGCACCAAAACATTTCCCAACACACTGCGCCACTCCATCAAAAAATTACTCCAATGTTGGCAAAATAATACGTCTACTGATAGCCTGAATAACCAACCATAGGCATTACAGTGGCAAAATAAGGCGTTCGAGTGGATTGGTGAGGCAGTGCATTAACAGCTCAATAGAAAATCGAGATATCCATGTACTAAATCGTAATGCAAACATACACACCTACATACATACATATGTGCATGTTCGACAAAAACGAACATCTAAAAATACATGAATATACTTGTAGATACATACATACATACGTATGTATTTAGGATTAAAAGTTTACATTAGAAATTTATTAAAACAGCAGAAAAATCGCACCAACTAGTTGGTGGTTATTTTGTTTGTAAAAAATTATAAACAAAAGCGTGTAGCCGAAATTTGCTGGAAAACATTTTCCAGCGTGAGGCACCACTATGTAGGTACATCAATTGGGAAATAAACCTAGAAAAAAAGAAAAAACATGTCTAGTCGTTCAGTACATTTACTGTATATTGTATGAATGTATACTTATATATGTGCATTGTATGTATGCAAAAAAGCGCAGAGTATAATTTTGAAATTTCTTCGCGCTTTCCAATTTTTGTTTGACTCAGTTTAGTTGCCTTTTCTAGCTCCTAACGTTTAGAGCTTCTATCTACCAGACGCGTTCAGCCTTATATTAAACTAAATTTTTGATAAAAAAAACGCGATCGCATACTTTGAATTTTTATAAATTGTGTGTGTTTCAAAGCTAAAAAACTGCATAACTTAAACAAAATGAATACTGCGCCTACGCAACATCGCACACGTGCGAATCCCGTCTCTTCGCATGCCATCGTATATCCAACAACGGATGTACGATTGCCAACCGTGCAAGGATCGCGCGTCTACCAGGGATTGAAAACATGTATGTATGTTCTACCTGCATATGTGTAGGTACCGCCAAAAAGACGTTACCGACATTTTTTTCAAATTTTTTTCTTTTTGATGCAAGAATCTTCCTAGAGCATCCAGATGTATTTCTGCATCCAAAATAAAATTTTTAAAATATCGCTTTTACGTCTGTTTGGCGGTTAGGGCTCGATATGGTGAATCAAAAAAAAAAAATCGCATTTTATGTAATTTGGTCCTTTGCCAATCAGTAAAAAAGTTCTATGATGAAAAAAATTTTTTACTATTGTGAGAAAATTTTACATTTCTGATGTGCCATTTCGTGACTATTTTCTGCTGGATTTTTTCGACAGTTGCTCTGGTACAAAAGAAGTTGAGCCTTTAAAATGCATCGTTTCTTCTGCATCTAGTGAATTACAGCTACGACAAAAAGTGTTGTGTTCCAGTCCTAGTCTTGCAGCATGGATTCCCACGGCCCAGTGCCCTGTGTAAACGGCATTTAGTCGAGATAGATCCCTCCTGTTTAGTTTTATAAGAAAAGCAGTGCGTTTTGGGCAGAAGGTGGGCCACAGATTCCTGCAGATCACCCTATAGGATTATAGGTCATTCCACCCATTGTTAGCCACCTTTTGCCGTGCTGAGAGATGCGGCTCTTGATATAGCGCAGAAGCACAGAAATCTCCTCTGCCTTTGAGATATCCAGAGCCGACCTATTCATGGCCAGCTCGTCAGCCATCTCGTTGCCACGAATTCTGCTATGCCCCGGCACTCATATCAGTGTAACGACATGCCCGTCAGCTAAAGCCATAACGTTCTGCCTGCACTGTTTTATTATGCTGAAGGTGAT